GGATATCTGATTGGATATCTGATCGGATACCTGATTGGATATCTGATCGGATATCTGATCGGATATCTGATCGGATAATTCGGTTAAATCTATTTGGATATCCGATCTAATAAGATACCGTAATTTCCCAACATGTGTACCCGGGGTATTTCTCTAGCTCATTTTAGTACCCGGGGTACACGTGTAGGAGGGATATATTGTATTAGGGAGGGGTATATATGTCAGGTTAAACTTTTATTGGCTGCAAGTAATTCCCATTACTGATTGGCCGAACATGACCATACGCATGAGTATGAGTCATAGATTCGATGTCGTACATAAAGACCTTCAAGGTTTATTGTAAAAATCCAATTGTATGCCCATCTTATCAATTGATTCTTGCCTTTCGGCATTTCTATTCCCTAACTTGGAGTGTGGCCTCGTGTGGCCTTATGAATTAATAGTAACGCACATAATTTGTTGTGTGTTGTGGTTCCTGAACCAATTTTATATAAAAAAAAAAAAAAAAAAAAAAAAAAAAAAAAAAAAAAAAAAAACGCATCTTTTGACACGTATTATATTGTACGCAAACTGTTTCGGCACCAAAAATATCTCCACGAAGAAGCAACATCAGAAGAACCACCCGCATTACCGATAAAAGCCGTCGTTCATGGAGTGCCAAAGAGAAGCTTATGGTTATTAATTACTATGAGCATATTAAAAATGTGAGAGCCACTGCAAGAAGATTTGAAATCGAACCAAAGCAGGTTTGTGAATGGCTGGACAAAAAGCAAGAGCTTCTGAGTGTCGCACCCTACATTTTAACGCTTAATCGTGGTCGTCAGGCCCAATTTCCGTTATTAGAAGAAAGGCTTGTTGAATGGATTAATAAACACCGTAAAGAGCAGAACGCTGTCACCAGAAATATGGTTGAGAAAAAGGCTAAGGCCTTGCACAAACTAATGAATTTAAGGATATTTACCCTGACATCGGTGCCTTTAAATTTCCTAAAAACTAGTTAAATCGGTTATTGTCCCGCTATAGTTTTTCAAACCGTAGGTGTATGACAGTTTCACAACACCTTCCAGCTGACCTTGAGAAAAAAAAAGTGAATTCTTAAGCTACGTTTTGTTTAAATGTCAGGAATATGGCATTCCTGTTAGTTGTATGAGCAACATGGACGAAACATCCTTATCATTCGATGTACCTAGCCCGGTTACTCTTGAAAAGCATGGGTCAAAAACCATGGGTATCAGAACTACTGGGCACAAAAGAACAAATTTTACCGTTATTCTCAGATGCCTCGCTAATGGAATAAAGCTTTCGCCTGTATGCATTTTTAAGTTGAAGCTTATCTCTCGTGATGTGTTTCCTCAAGGCATTATTATTAGAGTAAATGAAAAAGGATGGTGTAATGAGAATGAGATGCACTTAAAGTATGGTACCGTAAATAGCTAATTACTACAATTATATTTACTACATATATTTTTACAAAGGTTTTTTAAAACCGTAATTGTAGTA